ACTGGTGAATTAAATATATTCACAAAGTCTTTCTTCTGGAATGAGGCCAAAGCTGGAGTTTCGTCTTGTGTTGCCTGTTGTACCACATCTTGAGTAGGGATATCTACCATGAGTTGGATGGATACTGTTTTCAGAGGCAATGAATTTTCACCAACTGATGGTTATGTCTCTGCCAACTGTATAGTCATAACCTGATAACAGGGCAAAGAAGGCTGTAATTCTGTCAATGAAGTTGGTGATAGCAGTGAAACACAGGTAGCAAAATGTGAGTCACTGGCAAGCAAGGAACTCATCTTTTCAGGAGGGGTATCCATTGGCTCTATACAGTTCAGCCCCAATAGTTTTCCCTTATCTGAGATACAGTTTAAAGCTGCATGCCTAGTACTATCTATCTGCTTATAAATTGACGCCTGTGGTTGAGGATCTTGATATATTACTATCTCATTTGATGCTACCGATCCCAGTTCAGCATCACTCAAAAATCTCATTGATGCAGTTCCCTATAGTTAATTTGGAAATGGGTATTTGTTTCACTTCCAGAGCAACAAAGAAGATTTCACTCATATTTTCTAGATGGTCCTGATGTAAATTTGAGTGGGAAGGCATCACATCATTATCTGTTGAAACTTGTTGAGTAACTTTTGTGGTAATCCTGCTTCCCCAGTTATGCATATTAGCTTTCTTTGCAGGTCTTGGAGTCTAGTCATTATGACCTCCTGCTCAATCCTGGGAAGAACCTTAAAAGTATTAATAAGGCTATTTTCTTCATCGCAATGAGTAAATTCTAATTTTCTAACAGAGTTATTTTCATCACAGTTCTTAGATTTGGTACTTTCTAAGCAGATCAAGTTAGAGCTTTCTAACTTGGAATAGGGAGGAAGCAGACAACACAAACCACAACAATGGAACCAAGTCCAGCTAGGCAAAGATCTCTGGAAGAGGAGACACAAAGAGATAGAGCGAATTCATTTAGAGATTTGCAACTAATGCTTCAATCAATGCAAGAGGTAATGTGCAAAAATCAGGAAGACCTAAAAAAAGAAATAGGGAAAGTAAGAAGCGACATAGGGGAACTTAAGGAAAAGATGAAGTCAATGGATGGGAAATTTGAGTGTTTTCAGCAACAGATTATGAAAAATGAACAAAAGTTACTGGAAATGGAAGAAAGAATGGGAAAAGAAGAACAGAGAGTAGATGAAATGAACGAGAGGTTAATCCAGGCTAACAGAGAATTGGAATCAACAGTTATTTCCCTTGAATTAGAGAAGGCTGCCCATTATCTACAGTTCCAAAACATCAGAGAGACGAAAGGTGAAGATTTACCAGCGATGATGATAGATATACTGGCGGGGGCTTTAGGCACCAGTAAAGAAGAGATGGCGAATGAGATAGATGAGACTTATAGAATCCATACGAATTATGTGAGATGGCATAATCTCCCTAGAGAAGTCCACATTAGATTTGTTAAGAAATCTATTAGAGATGAAATATTATTTAGGACTAGAGATGACCCATTGGAATACTGAGGCAGACAACTAATTGTACTTAAGCAAGTACCTAGAAGGGTGAGAGATTTGAGAAGACCCTACTGACAAATAACCTCTAAATTGATAAGAAAAAAATATTAATTTCTGATGGCTGGCACCGGAAGGGATTACGGTCGTGTGGCAGGAAAAGAGGCTTCGACTAGATACAATAGATAAAGCAGAGGAATTTTACAGACAAATTTTGGCAGTGAGGAGGAGTTAGTGGAAAGAGAGGCAAGAGAGGAAGGTGAGATACTAGCACAGGCCATAGAAGAAAAGGAATCACAAACTAAAGGCAGGGGAGCTGGGAAAGGAGAGAATATGGAAAATGGAAAAGATAATGGAAAATACGATGAGGATAGACTCAAAGAAGTTAAAGAGGCTAGATCGACAAGACTGTTAGTGGAAAGAAAAATGGAACCACAAGTTAAAGAGTCTAGACCAACAATAATAACAAGATCTAAATATAGATAAAGAGGTAAAAGAAAGTGCTGAGATTTTATCCCTGAATGTTAATGGTCTCAACTCCCCATTAAAAAGGATGTTTTTAAAAATAAACTTAATAAGATGAATTTGTATATAATAATTTTACAAGAAGTTTATATAAAAAAAACACCAACACCTACTAAATCGCCCCAAATTGGGGAATATGTTTGCAGCACTTTCACAACAAAAAAAGGAGTTGTAGCATATATCAAAGAGGGAATTCCGGCAAATCAAATTTATAAAGATGAAGATGGTAGAATTCTAATAATAGAAGTAATATTGAATAAAATAAAAATAGCCCTCGTAGGAATTTATGCCCCGAATGAAGGGCAGAAACAATTCTATAAAAGATTACATAGTATTATTAGTGAGTTTGAATATGACAACATCTGTATAATGGGAGACTTCAATGCAATTGTGGATAGACACCTAGATTATAAAAGTGATAAGATTAGAAAAGGAACTAGAAGAACACTTCCCAGTACCATCCTTAAAATGGCGGAGGAGTTTAATATTCAGGACATTTGGAGGGAGAGGAATACAGGGAAAAAGCAGTATACTTATTATTCGGGGCGACATCTATCATGGTCCAGAATCAATATGGCGTGGTTGTCAGTAGATTTAAATTCGGAAGTGAAAGATATTACAATTGATGCGAACTCTTGGGCGGATCACAACCCAATCAGAATTAGATGGAGAGGGCAAAAGAAAAAAAGGAGATGGACCATGAAAACAGCAATTTTAAAACATAAAGAATTCAAATTGAAATTGGATCAAATGGGTCTGTTTTTTCAGATAAATAAAAAGGAAGACACAAATTGCCAAAACGTATGGGACACAGCCAAAGCTTACATGAGAGATGTTGCAATTGCTTATATGGCCAGAGAAAATAAAATTAAACTACAGTGACAAGGAAATTTAGAAGAAGAACTTAACAGGGCCAAGGAAAATCTACAAAATGAACCACAAAGATGTGACCTGAAACAACAAATACACCTAATTAAGCACAAGATGAACACTAGCGAAAAGGAAGAATTGGGGCAGCAAATAAAATGTACAAAGCAAAACTTTTTTGAAAACGCCAATAAACCAGGGAGATGGCTGGCTTACAGAATAAAGAAACATAATGATAAAAAGAGTATTAGTAAATTATACAATGAAGAAGGCGATATGGTATATCAGAATGAAGGGAAGAAAATGGTGGTCTATCAGTTCTATAAGAAATTACATAAAGATGAATGGAAAAATAATGATGATATACTAAAATATCTGCGAATATCTGACCTACCGAAACTTTCAGAAGAGATTAAAAATATGTTGAACAAAGAGATAACACCCCTGGAACTATCAGAGGCAATTAAGAAACAAAAAAACAACAAAGCATCAGGGCCAGATGGTTTACCAGCAGAAATATATAAAATTTTGCAAGAATCTTTAAGTCCAATATTAATAGAACTATTCAATGAGGTCCTAAAATATGCAAAAATACCGACTTCATGGGAAGAAGCAATTCTCACACTGATTCCCAAGGAAAACTCAGATTCGGCATTTATTAAAAATTATTAGCCTATTTCATTATTAAATTCGGATTATAAAATTTTTATGGCCATAATGGCTAAAACACTTGAAAGATTCCTAGTATAATTTATACATACAGATCAAAATGGCTTTTTACCCAAAAGATATATAAGAAATGTTAGGATTGTATTGGATGCATTTGTTGGAATATTCATGTCAGAATCCAATTATATTTCATCTCTAGTTATCAACTATAGAAAACACCATTTCTGCCTTCTCTGGATTTTGTCATACGATGAAGGGAAGGGGATGAACAATGGGGGTTTATGGCCCTCACTTCCTTCGGTACACTTCAAAGGAACTGGATGTGGATATCACCAAAAGGACTAACCATAACAATGGGGCTATTACCTTCATGTAGTTCTCTCTGAAGTCTCCAGCCAGCCAGCAGTAAGGAAAAGGGGGTGGGAGTGTAATGCCTGAGACTGTCGCTGGAAGAAGGGGGTGATTGGGTGGGGCTACTGGGGAACCCCTTAAAACCTTGAATGGGAGAGCTTGGACCCCAAGTCCTGTCTAGAACGCCTGCAATCATTTTCTCTTAATAAAGGATACCTGTTGGAAGAACTATTCCAAGAGTTCTGTCTTCTTAAGATGCAAAGTGGGGTGGGTCCTTACATTAGACAAGACTTGCAACATTAATCCACCTGAAAGGGAGACCCTGCCGGGGGATTTTGCAAAAGATTACCATGTCAGACAATGGAGCAGGAAAGGGGGAAAACTCCCCGGAAAGAGAGCCGCTGCCCCCACTGGAACCTTGCCAGATGTCGGGATCCGAGAGGTCAGATTCCTCAGGAGAAGAAGTGATGGAGACACAGGACCACAAGCCTCGTTGGTCAATGGGCGTTGGAAAGAAAAGCGAGTGGGGAAAGAAATCAAGAAAGGTGACCCTGAGACAGGGGGCCAAGCAATCAGAATGGAAGCAGGAGATGGAGAAATCCCTGCACGCAAGTGGAAAGGAAGAAAGCTGGGCACCGTACTCTGACTAGATCATAGAGAAAGCTATTGACCTGATGAAGAGAACTCTCATCTCCCGAGGAGAGGAGAATCCTGAGCGCTATGGCTGTCCCAGCTCCTGGAGCCGCAAAGGGAGAGACATCGAGGGGGAAGTGGAACCTGCAGCCCCGGGGACATCTGCTGATCCAGTAGTCCCCACCCCCTGCCAAACCACAGATGGCGATCTGGACGGAAGACACTACCACCAACAACAGAGGAACTGATCCATTCCAAGACGTCTGCCATTGGAAGTGAAATTCAAAGGGGAGCCAACACGCTTGGGGTTTTTCCTAACCCAAGTCCTCAGCTATATGGAGGAATACGGGCGGGACATCCCCAGCGACAAAGCCCGCATCCGGATCATGCAATCTGCCCTGGACGGACCGGCTGCAGATTTGGGTGGTGAACTTGCACGACTCCAATGCCCCAGAGCTCAACGACTTCAACCATTTCATGTCCTCTCTGAGAAGGCAATTTGAAGACCCTGTGGCTGATCGCAAAGCCCACAAAAGGATAAAAACGATAAGGCAAGGAAAACGCCCATTGGCTGAATATACGCAAGAATTCCAGGCCATTGCCAGCAAACTGAACTGGCCAGAAGACATCCTCCTTAGCCATTTCAAAGACGGACTAAATTATGACCTATATGACGCTTGCCTGCCCTGAGGGGACACACACCAACTTGAGGAATGGTACGTCTTGGCAGAGGAAGCAGAGATCGACATATTAAAGAGGCACCGCCAAGGAAAACAATGGAGCCACTCCCCACCTGAGTTGGCACATGAACCACTGAAACCATTGGCTACAGCCAAGAAGCAAATGGGGTGTTTCAAGTGCGGAAGAGAAGGGCATCGAGCTGTAGAATGCAGCTCCAAAACCCCCCAGCACAACCCAGACAGATCCCCGATCAGCAAATCCAGAAAGTCTTCAGCTAAGCCAAAAGAAACTGCCATGAGAATGATGGAAATTAACCCTTTTGATGGAACTGTTGAAGACCCCCCAGTCCCTCCCCGTGATTTATCCATAGTTCAACTGGTACCTTGAGTACCCACCCTTCCCTGATATAGATCACCTCCACGTGTGGGTTCAGGTTTCAATTTCAGACTGGCTAATCGAAACCAATCTGTAACTGATTGAGTAGAGGAGGAACCCATGTGCGACCATGAGGTTGGTTCTGGTCCTGGCACCCATCTCTGCCATGAGGGCGCATCCTGGTATCCCCCTTCTCCAAATTGCTCCCGTAAAAGGTCCATAACAATTTGGCCAGGGGCTGTGGTGTAACTCCAGTCCTCCTCATCCTCATCCGTCAGGGGTCGCTCCCGCCACTGGGTTATCATCCGACCATCTTCCCCTGGTCCAACTCCGCATCCCTCTGTCATACCTGTTACTATAGGACTTTGCCACCATTCTCCGGCCAGGGTATTCCCCCGATGCCATACCTTGGGACCCTTGTACCTTAGCAGGAGGGTTTAATGAGCTTGCTTCCCTCACCTTAGGATGTACCGACAGTTGTTCAACAACAGGAGCTTCTGTCCCTTCCTCCTTTTCTTTTATAGTCCCCTGGTCAGCTTCAGCAGGGACAACGTCCTGTACACCTTCTGCCATATTGCAAAGAAATTAAACTATTCTACTCCCCCCTAGTCCAGTAACCCAACAAGGCGGATACAAAACTCAGGTTAGGCGCAGAAAACACAACTGACTGAACCCAAAAGGGAAAAACCCATACGAGAGGCATAAAGGGGGGGGATCAAAGGGTTTGCGTACCAATCGAGGGCCTTCCATATCTGTTTCCCTCACCCATGATGCCTCTGATAGTGGATATCCCTTCCATAACACGAGGTATTGCAATCGACCTCGTCTATACCTTGAATCGAGTAATTTCTCAATTTCGTAATGACCTCCCCCAACTTGACCTGGGGGTTGAGGTACCTGCCTAAATGATGGCTTCGTTACCGGTTTTAGTAGTCTACTGTGGAAAACTGGGTACACTCCACCAAGGGTGCGGGGTAGTTTCAGTTTCACTGTCACGGAGTTAATCACCCATTCTATTTTAAAAGGCCCGATATATTTTGGCCCTAGCTTTTTGCACAGCCTGCGTAATTTTAAATATTTGGCGGATAGGTATACTTCTTCGCCAACCTGAAAGGGTTTCTGTGGACTCCTCTTTTTGTCAGCCTGTCTTTTTGCTGCTACTTCAGCTTTTTGTAAGGCCTTCTTAACTACTTTCCACACATTGTTAATTTGATTTATCCAATCGCTCGGTTGTTGCGATCCCGTATCCCCTCGATGTAATTCAGGGATAGGGACAAAGTCTATCCTGTTTACCACTCGAAATGGAGTAAATCCTGTACTACTGTGGAGGGTGTTATTATAAGCCACCTCCGCAAGTGGTAGAAGTTCAGCCCAATTTGTCTGCTGATAGTTGACATAACATCTGAGATATCGTTCAATCATTGCATTGGCACGTTCAGCCCCTCCGTTCGTTCTGGGGTGGAATGCGGAACTTAGTCCTTGAGACGATCCAATGGATTTGATCAAACTTCTCCAGAAATGGGAAGTGAATTGTACTCCCCGATCCGAAATGATGCGGCGAGGTACTCCATGTAGTCGATAGATGTGGGTCACAAAGAGTTTTGCTAAATGCCTTGCAGATGGTAATCCTTTGCAGGGAATAAAATGTGCCTGCTTTGAAAACAGGTCTATTACCGTCCGTATCACCGTATTCCCATGGCTGGTTGGTAGATCAACTATAAAGTCCATACCAATCTCTTCCCAAGGATGGTTCGGGTCAGACACTTGTTGTAACAGGCCTGATGGTTTTCCCACTCGTGGTTTTGTCATTGCACACATGGAACATTCTCGAAAGTACTTATCTATATCCTTTTTCATACCTGGCCACCAAAACTGTCGTTTGAGTAAATGTAGGGTTTTTAGAAACCCAAAATGCCCAGCTGCTTTTACATCGTGATCCCGGCTAAGCACTTCTAATCGTAGGGATTGAGGAACATATAATTTCCCCCCTTTTCAAGCTAGCCCATCTTTCATAGTGAGAGTTTGGGTATGACTTATCAACCATGGATCAACCATAAGGCCACCTTGTAGAGTTTGTACCAAGTCTTCTACAGATCGTACCATCGGATTGCCCAGTTGGAGGTATGAGGGCCTGAACCACTTCCTCCCGCTCACTACTGTACTGGGGTTTTCTAGATAGTGCATCCGCAAGAAAAAATTTCCCCCCCGGAACATACTGTAATTGGAACTAGAATTGTTGAAAATATAGCACCCACCTTACGTGTTTTGGAGCTAGTTGTCTGGGCATTTGTAGTGCTTCTAGATTTTTGTGGTCAGTCCATACTTCGAAAACTTCTTTTGCTCCTTCTAAAAAATGGTGCCATGTGGCCAATGCCCATCTTACTGCATATGCCTCCTTCTCCCAAACAGCCCACCTATGTTCAGTATTGGTTAATTTGCGAGAAGTGAATGCACAAGCTTGTAATTTTCCTTGTTCATTCTTTTGTAACAGCACTGCTCCTACTGCCACATCGCTTGCATCTGTTTGTACCACAAAAGGTTCATCAAGATTGGGATGTCGTAAGATTGGTTCTCTAGAAAATAAGAACTTTAATGTCTCAGATGCTTGTTGGCACTCAAGTGACCAGGGTAAGAGTTGACTTGGTCGAGGGTTACTCCCTGTGGGTTTTGTACGCAGTAACTCTGTTAATGGCAACGCCACTTTGGCGAAAGATGGAAAGAACTGCCTGTAGAAGTTCGCAAAGCCTAGGAAACTTTGCAATTGACGATGCGTCTGTGGTGGTTGCCAATCTAACACGGCCTGCACTTTTGTCAGATCCATTTCTATCCCTCCTCCCGATATTCTATATCCTAAATAGTCCAATTTACTTTGATGAAATGCACACTTCGATAGCTTAACGTATAGTTGGGCATCGAGGAGTTTCCGTAGCACCTTACAGACTAATTGCACATGATCTTCCTTATCTTCTGAATATATAAGAATATCATCAAGGTATACCAGAACTCCTTGATATAAATATTCATGCAACACTTCATTTATCAGCTGCATGAAGTCAGCAGGAGCCCCCTGTAACCCAAATGGCATTACCCTATATTGATAGCTTCCTAATGGGTTGTTGAATGCTGTCTTCCATTCGTCTCCTTCCTTTATACGTATTCTATAATATACTTCTCGTAAATCCAATTTCGTAAAAATTTTGCCTTTTGACAAATGGGCCAACAGATCTTTCATAAGTGGAAGGGGATATAGGTTTTCTACACAGACTCCATTTAGGCCCTGAAAGTCCACACACAACCGTAAACCCCCCTTTTTTCTCTTTAAACAAGATAGGGGCCGCAACCCGCGACCGGGCAGGTTGGATAAAACCTCTTGCTAGATTTCTGTCAATATATCTCCTTAATTCTGCCATCTTGTTTTGAGTCATTGTGAGGTTTCGGGAGGGTTGCCCCTGCTTCTATATCGATGGCACAATCAGTTGAATGGTGTGGTGGTAATACGTCACATTCCTGTTCACTGAATACATCTGCAAGGTAGATATACTCCAAAGGAAAATCAACCTTCCCCTCGTCACCGGTTACCTGTGTACGGGTTATTTCCTCTCCTCTTTTCACCTGTTCATGGTGAGGTGGTTGAGGACCTATACCAATACACGTTCTCCGACACCCTCCTCTCCACCAAATGGTTGGCCCCCATTTGTCCAACCAAGCTAAGCCTAATATTACATTTTCTGTCATGGACGGAACTACTATAAACCTTATTATTTCCCAATGTTCCCCTAATTCTAACGGCACAGGTTCAGTGATATAGGTGGCAGGCAACCCACCTAACAAGGATCCATCTACCTGTTCAAAGCGTACCGGTGTTTGTAAGGGCCTTATTCTAATACCTGTGTGACGTACTAAATGTTCACCAATGAGACACCTAGTACATCCAGTAGGGCGTTACACTGTGTTCGTTTCCCTGAATATGTACTGGTGATTATGATAGGGAGGTTAAACAGATGAATGGGTTCGCTTACCATGGGATCTTCTGATGTCTTTATATCCTCATGGTATATGGTCAATGGGGGTTCCATTCCGCCGATCCCTTCATCAATAGCCAACCTCTCCCCTCGGAATTTTGAACTGTCGACATGTTGTTGTACTGCCCTCGTTCTTTCAGGGAATTTCCTAGGTAGTTTCTTTTCTGCCACGTCTATCCTTCCCTTAGGAAGTGGCTCCCTGCACTCTACAGCACGATGGCCCGGCAGGTTGCATCGGAAACAACAAAACGTTGAACAAGATGATCCGTCAGGTGGGTTGGATACTGGACCTAATTGCCAAAACTGTACTGGATTTCTACGTGATCCTAGCTGGTTATCACTTCTTGGACGAAACTCTTGCAAGCCCGTGTCCAAGTCCGTGACCACTCGAAAACATTGTTGTAGTTTTCCTGGAATTCCCCAATATACACATGCTTGTCTTAAATCTTTATCTAGTCCTGCCTGGAACTGGTGTACCAATAGTCGCTCAGGCCAAGTCCATAATTTGCTAGCTACTCTTCGGAATTCTCTAACATATTCTGCAACTGGCCGACCCCGTTGTTTTATATTCAAAACCTCCCCTTCTGCCTCCGTATTCTAGACAAATCCTCAAAACGAGTTCGAAGGGCCCCTAGGAATGCTCCAACATTAGCTAACTCGCGAGCATGATCAGTATGTAAGTCAGCCACCCACTCCAAAGCTTCTCCCTGTAGGGCTGCTGTTACTGCTCCTACCATGGCCCACTGAGAAGGGTAAAGGTGGCCGTATCTATCCATGTCCTATGGCTTAACTCACAAAAAGGGCTAGTTTATCAGGATTGCCATCAAAGGACACATTCAAAGGTGGAGGACCCCAGACAGAGCCCTGTGGCCATGGTCCGGGACCCCATCCTGCTGCGTGTGAAGGACCTATCGAAAGCCCTACTCCAGACGTAAGGGATTCTGATTCTCTTGAGATTGGAACTCCGGGAGGTGATCTTAACCCCTTGATGGAACTGTTGGACCTCCCCGGTCCCTCCCCGTGATTTATCCATAGTTCAACTGGTACCTTGAGTACCCACCCTTCCCTGATATAGATCACCTCCACATGTGGGTTCGGGTTTCAATTTCGGACTGGCTAATCGAAACCAACCTGTAACTGATTGAGTAGAGGAGGAACCCATTTGCGACCATGAGGTTGGTTCTTGTCCTGGCACCCATCTCTGCCATGAGGGTGCATCCTGGTATCCCCCTTCTCCAAATTGCTCCCGTAAAAGGTCCATGACAGTTTGGCCAGGGGCTGTGGCGTAACTCCAGTCCTCCTCATCCTCATCCGTCAGGCGTCGCTCCTGCCACTGGGTTATCATCCGACCGTCTTCCCCTGGTCCAATTCCGCATCCCTCTGTCATACCTGTTACTATAGGACTTTGCCACCATTCTCCGGCCAGGGTATTCCCCAGATGCTATACCTTGGGACCCTTGTACCTCAGCAGGAGGGTTTGATGAGCTTGCTTCCCTCATCTTAGGACGTATCGATGGTTGTTCAACAACAGGAGCTTCTGTCCCTTCCTCTTTTTCTTTTACAGTCCCCTGGTCAGCTTCAGCAGGGAAAACGTCCTGTACACCTTCTGCCATATTGCAAAGAAATTAACCTATTCCACCCCCCCCCCAGTCCAGTAACCCAACAAGGCGGATACAAAACTCAGACTAGGCGCAGGAAACACAACTGACTGAACCCAAAAGGAAAAAACCCATACGAGAGGCTGGAAGGGGGGGGGGAACAAAGGGCTTGGGTTTTTAGGAGCGCGAACTTTCCTGTCAGCTTCCCTACCGGACTCCACACGAACAAAGCAAAGACGAAAGCTTCTGGGTGAAAGCAGCTCCGGTTTACTTCGAGGAAAAGCGACGACTTGACATAGACAAGCAACAAACAAGCTCTGTGCTATACGAAGTTCGCCCTGGGAGCAACTGCCTCCTAACGCTATAAATATACTTATGTTACTATTCCACCCTATTCAGTTATTAGCCACACCTCCACCACACCCGTGCTCGTTAACCCCCACCCTATCCATCTAGCAACCACACCTTCACCACACCCGTGTTCATTCATTCACAACCCCCTTCCACCCTTCTGGCTTCCAATCAGCGTTTGGCAACTATCATTGAGCACAGCTTTTGCATCTGAGACTTCTATACACGCCTTGCACTAACAAGGTATTCTTCGGGTCACCGCCCATCAGCTGGTTATCGTTTCACCACCGATCAGCTGTTCGGCAGTTTACTTTAGTTCTGCGCAGGCAGACAGTCTCTCTGCGCATGGCATCTCCTGCTTCCTAGACCTGCCCAGCAGCTGTCTCCCCGTTCCGTATATTCGTCGAAGAACGCCGAGTTGCTGTGCTGCTCTTCTTTTGCCATCAGGTCGGTTCCCCCTCTCTTGTGTGTCAAGCCCGGGAGGCTATCCCAAGGGGGGCTGCCAGAATCAAGAATAGAAAAAGCGTCCATGAGAGAGGAAAAGGGACTAACAGAAATACCAGAGGAATACAGAGACCTTGCTGAAGTTTTCAGTGAGGAGAGGGCGGATGAGCTCCCCCCCCCCACTGACCCACAGACTGTGCCATTGAATTCAAGCCTGGGGCAAAACTCCCGAAGCCCAGATTATACTCCATGAGCCCAAAGGAGAAGGAGGAAATAGAAAGATTCATTAAAAAAAACCCTAGAGAGAGGTTTCATTGAGTCAGCCAAGCCTAAAGTGGCTGCCCCAGTCCTCTTTAGAGAGAAAAAGGGTGGCTCTTTACGCTTATGCATAGATTATAGGGCCCTGAATACGATCAGTGAAAGCAACCTATACCCTTTGCCCCTCATGAAAGACATGCTGTCACACCTCTTGAAAGGGAAAATATTTTCTAAACTACACCTAAGGGAAGCTTACTATCGCGTGAGAATTAAGGAAGGGGACGAATGGAAGACCGCATTTAACTGCCCCACGGGGTGCTATCAATTCAAAGTCTTGCCATTTGGATTACAAGGGGGCCCTGCAGTATTTATGCAATTAATCAATGACGTTCTAAGGGAGCACCTGTTTAAGGGGGGTCCTTGTTTACTTGGACGACATTCTTATCTTCACCGAAACAAAAGAGGAACATGTCAACCTCGTCAGAGCGGTTTAAAGAAACTGCGAGCCACCCACCTATATGCCAAACTCTCAAAATGCGAATTTCACCAGGAAAGGATAGACTACCTAGGTTATCGCATATCCCCACAGGGCATTGAAATGGACCCAGAGAAGGTCAGAGCAGTATTAGATTTGGCACCATCCCGCACAAGAAAGCAACTACAAAGTTTCCTGGGCTTTGCAAACTTTTACCGCCAATTCATCCCCTCATTTGCCCAGATAGCCTTGCCCCTCATTAACGTACTAAAAACGAAGGGAGCATCCTCAGTAAAACCTAGCCAGCCACTAACATGGACAATGGAGTGCCAAGCAGCATTTGAGAGACTAAAGAGACTTTTTTCTGCCGAACCAGTACTAAGGCACCCAGACATGGATAAGCCCTTCGTAATACAGGCGGATGCAAGTGATGTGGCAGTGGGGGCTGTTCTACTACAAGAAAATGATAGTAATAGTAATAGTAGTAAAGTTTGAAGGGACTTTGGAGGTCATCTAGTCCAACCCCCTGCTCAGGCAGGAAACCCTGCACCATTTTGGACAAATGGCTGTCCAGTCTCTTGTTAAAAACTTCCAGTGTTGGAGCATTTACTGCTTCTGGAGGCAGGCTGTTCCACTGATTAATTGTTCTCACTGTCAGGAAGTTTCTCCTTAGTTCTAGGTTGCTTCTCTCCTTGATTAGTTTCCACCCGTTGCTTGTCCTGCCTTCAGGTGCTTGGAAAATAGCTTGATTCCCTCTTCTTTATGGCAGCCCCTGAGATATTGGAATACTGCTATCATTCTAGCAACCATTCCTTATATGTTTTAGCCTCCAGTCCCCTAATCATCTTTGTTGCTCTTCTCTGTACTCTTTCTAGAGTCTCAACATCTTTTTTACATCATGGTGAACAAAATTGGATGCAGCAACCATTCCTTATATGTTTTAGCCTCCAGTCCCCTAATCATCTTTGTTGCTCTTCTCTGTACTCTTTCTAGAGTCTCAACATCTTTTTTACACCGTGGTGACCAAAATTGGATGCAGTATTCCAAGTGTGGCCTTACCAAGGCATTGTAGAATGGTATTAATACTTCACGTGATCTTGATTCTATCCCTCTGTTAATGCAGCCTAGCACTGTGTGGACCTTTTTGGCAGCTGCAGCACACTGCTGGCTCATATTTAGGTGATTGTCTACTAGGACTCCGAGATCCCTCTCACAGTTACTACTATTGAGCATAGTGCCACCTATGCTGTACTTGTGCATTTGGTTTTTCTTGCCTAAATGTAGAACCTTGCTTTTTTCACCATTGAATTTCATTTTGTTAGTTAGTGCCCAGTGTTCAAGTCTGTCCAGATCCTTCTGTATCTTAAGCCTGTCTTCTGGAGTGTTGGCTATTCCTGCCAGCTTGGTGTCGTCTGCAAATTTGATGAGTTCCCCATCTATCTCTTCATCGAAATCATTGATGAAGATGTTGAAGAGCACTGGGCCCAGAACAGAGCCCTGGGGCACCCCACAACACTGCAACCCTGTGCATATACATCCAAGAAAGTCATGGAAACAGAATAGCGCTGGCCTGTATGGGAGAAAGAGGCATACGGGATACGTTGGGCATTACTCACGTGGTGACAGTTCCTGGAAGGCAACAAAATCCCCTTCCAGGTGTGGACTGATTACAAAAATTTGGAAGCCCTGAAAGCGCCCAGGAAGCTGAATCCCAAACAAGCCCGCTGGTCCCAGCATTTTCACCAGTTACAATTTAAGCTCAAACATTTACCAGGGAGAAAGAACTTGCTTGCCCCAATATAACAGCGCGCGAGCCACAGACTCTAAACCAATGATGGCAGAGTCACAACTGGCAGCACCAGTAACCACAAGAACCCAAGCTAAATTAAAACCACAACTGGACAGCCAAACTGGAATTGAATTCCAGAAAAGTTTGCAAACAGGTGAATACTTCCAGAAAAACAAAAATCTGTGCACAATGAGAGATGGGTTGCCTTGGGGGAGGGGGAAAGTTATATATATCAACAACCCAAAGAGTCACATTCATGCAGCTTTGCCATGACACAAAATCAGCAGGGCATTTTGGATTTGTAAAAATTTTACATTTAATTAAATGGCAATTTTGGTGGCCATCCATAAAAAAGGACATAGAAAGCTACGTAGCAAGCTGCCCAAAATGTGCTACTGCAAAGAGGTTGCAAGGGAAATCGCCAGGACTATTACAACCAGTGGCAAATCCCTCAGCCCCCTGGAGGGAAATAGCCATGGATTTTATAGTGGAATTGCCAGAAAGCAATGGGAATACTGTTCTATGGACGGTCACAAACTTGTTTTCCAAAAAGGTGCACTTTATCCCTTGCCAAAAGATTCCCAACGCAAAAGCCTTAGCAAAACTTTTCATCCAGCACATTTACAGATTGCACGGGGCACCCCAACGCATCATCTCTGATAGGGGAGTTCAATTTACATCTGCATTTTGGAAGGAATTTTTATCCCTCTTAGGGACCACTCAGGGACTGACATCTAGCCATCATCCACAAGGGGATGGACAAACAGAACGTTGTCATTCAGTACTTGAGCAATATTTAACATGTTTTATTAATTTTCAGCAAACAAATTGGACGGACCTACTCCCTTTCGCAGAAGTTGCTTACAATAATGCAGTCCACTCCAGCACAGGTTACACTCCTTTTCAAATAGCCACCGGTCAAAGTTTCAACCCCATGCCAGAATTTACCCCAAAGGAACCGGCGGTCCCATCACTGAAAGAATGGATGGAACAATTACAAAACGCCTGTCCAATAGTCAGAAAAGGATTAGATGAAGCTAGGCAGGCATACAAAGCACAAGCCGATAAAAAAAGGGTTGAGCCTACACAATTCATTATAGGGGAAATGGTGTACTTATCTACAAAATACCTAAAGTCCCTACAACCCTGTAAAAAACTTGGACCATAATATATAGGGCCTTTTCCAATTAAAAGAATCATAAACCCAGTTAACAGTAGAATTAGAATTACCAAAAAATCTCAGGCAAATACATCCAATTTTTCATTGCAGCTTGCTAAAAAGAGAGCGTCAGTCACCTTTACGGCCAAAAATCCCACCACCACCACCTCCAATCATGGTGGAAGGCGAACAACACTTCGAAATAAAGGAAACCCTTGACTCTAGGAGATATCATGGAGCGACTCAGTTCCTAGTTGCCTGGAAACACCCCCTTCCTCACAAAATGAGTGGGTCCATAAATGTCATGTCAGAGCCCCAAAGCTATTAAAGAAGTTTCACACAGAATATCCTAACAAGCCTGACTAACTTTTATACCTTTTTTGTTTTCTTTTACGTGGATCTGTCTTATTTTTGAGGGGGCAGGATGTCAGAATCCAAATTATATTTCATCTCTAGTTATCAACTATAGAAAACACCATTTCTGCCTTCTCTGGATTTTGTCATACAATGAAGGGAAGGGGGTGAACAAAGGGGCTTTATGGCCCTCACTTCCTTCGGTACACTTTAAAGGAACTGGATGTGGATATCACCAAAAGGACTAACCATAACAATGGGGCTATTACCTTCATATGGTTCTCTCTGAAGTCTCCAGCCAGCCAGCAGTAAGGAAAAGGGGATGGGAGTGTAATGCCTGAGACTGTCGCTGGAAGAAGGGGGTGATTGGGTGGGGCTACTGGGGAACCCCTTAAAACCTTGAATGGGAGCGCTTGAACCCCAAGTCCTGTCTAGAACGCCTGCAACCATTTTCTCTTAATAAGGGATGCCTGTTGGAATAACTATTCCAAGAGTTCTGTCTTCTTAAGATGCAAAGTGGGGTGGGTCCTTACAATTCATGAGCAGGAAGAGCCATGTGGTACTCAGTCAGCCAATGTGAAGAAAGTGCTACTGAGTCTGTGCAAAAGGGTATTGAGTTAGAAGCTGAATTTTCAGTCTCAGGTTTGTCTCTGTATCTCTCTGTAAGAAGTCTTCATTGAGCTATATTGCTGTAAAGAAGAATGTATGGTATTTTAAATATTTTGATATGAATATAAAGAAATTTATTTGAATCAGCTAAATGCAGTCAACTGTGAAAGCTTCTGATTTATTTTTTCACCAACAGAGAAATTAAAATTCTCTAATAGGTTATGGGCCCAGAGCTTACTAAGAACTGCACTGTAATTTAAAGCTGGAAGAAATTGCCTGTGTTTAGAAAGTATAAGAACAAGGCAGAATAAGCAGAATGGCTGCAATGGAATTTAAGGAAAACTCTGTGCCTTGTTTGGGCCAGAAGAATTACATTGTGTGGGCTGCTAAAATGGAATGTTTGCTAAAAGCTAAAGAGCTGTGGTATATTGTAGAAAATCCACCATAAGTGTTTGCAGCTGTTGATGAGAAAAATCATGATAATGATGGCTTATCTCATCTTGAATTTAGATGATGAACAATGTCTAAATGTTGTAAATTTAAAGACTTCAAAGGAGATTTGATTGAAGTTGAGAGCGGTGCACGTGAATGTTTCTGCATGCAATATAGTGCAATTGTCAAGAAAACTTTACAGGGCCTATTTGCAACCAGGTGAATCTGTGGAACAGCATTTAAATAAAATGCAAAGTTTATTTTTGGACTTATAACAACGTGGGATTAAATTCCTTGAGTCCCAGAAGGTTTTATTGGTTTTGAACAGTTTAGATAAAACCTGGGACACAGTTTCTGCAATATTTGAGTATAAAGAAGAGCAAGACTTAAATTTTGAGGCTTTAAAGGCATGTTTGCTTAATGAAAAAGAAAAGCAAAATTTTAGGGACAGCCATGAGGAGGTGAAATTCCTGAGGAGGAGGTTCAGACTGCAATTGTCCAGAGAAGAAACAAGCAGATGGGACCAAGTTGCATCAAAAGAGAGATTTTGCAAGCAGAGAGCTCAGCAAGAAAAGAATTGCTACATTTGTGGAGCAAACACACATCTGAAAAGGAACAGTTTACAGAGGAACAATTTGCAGCGAAGGACATTTGTGCAAGTAAAAAAGACTGATTTGCAAAAGGAACATTTTGGTGTTGCAAAAGTTTGCTATAGCAACAACAGAGACAAGTGGCTAATAGATAGTGGGGCAAGTCAAACAATTGTTAATAACTCTGAATTATTTTGCAGGTTTGTTCCAGTAGCTGTGGCTTTGGCAAATGGCCAGAAAGCAAAAGTCATTGGAAAAGGCAATGTAAAAATTCCATATTTGGAATCAAAGTTTACCAATGTGCTTTGTGTACCTGAGATGGAACATAATTTGTTAAGTGTGTCTAATTTAGACAAACAAGGTTTTGAGGTCATTTTTGTAAATGGAAAATGTCTCATCAAAAGGAATGGGAATATTTGTGCAGAAGGCATAAAGGAAGGTAATCTATATGTATTGCAGGGACAAAAGGTTCAATGTTCCCATATATTTAAGAATGTTGCAGAGCATGATTCGTGTGTTCATCTTCTACATAGAAGACTTCGCCATGTAAGCTTTAAAGTTTTGCAGCAAATGAAAGATTTTGCAGAAGGGCTAAATTTGAAGGGATGCAAAACATATTTGACTGTGCAGTATGCAAAGCATCGAAGTCAAAGGCATTCCCAGTTAGTAAATATAGCACAAGACAAACAAAAAGAGCTCTAGAGCTGGTCCATGCAGATCTGGTGGGACCTATGCAAGCCAGTTTGGGAGGAGCAAAATATGCACTGGTAATTGTTGATGATTACAGCAGGTATTCATTTTGCTACTTGCTTAGAGGAAAGACAGAACTGCTACAATAATTCAAATAGTGGGTACATTTTGTAGAGAGAAGTTCAGACAACAAGTGTGTCAGTTGCAAACTGACAGAGGTACTGAATTTATGTCAACTAAATTCCAACAATGGTTAGGGCAGTTGGGGATAAGACACAGACGTACAAATCCTTACACAGCAGCAGAGAACGGTGTAGCTGAAAGAAGGAATGGTGTTTTGCAAACAATGAAAGATTTATTATTAGAGGATTCTGGTATGAGCAGGTCATATTGGGGAGAAGCCATATTGACTGCCAATTATATAGTTAACAGGCTGTGGAGTTCCTCCATTAATAACACTCCATATGCCATTCTATATGGGAAAAAGCCATCACTGGCACAGTTGAGAATTTTTGGAAGTACTGCATGGGTACATATTCCGAAAGCAATCAGAAGAAAGGGACAGCAAAAGGCAAGAAAGCTCAGGTTTGTGGGCTATGAGCCAGGGTCAAAAGGATATCGCTTTAGCGATGGAAGTAAAAGAATTGTAATTTCAAGGTCTGCTAATTTTGCAGAACAAAATTGGGACAGAATAAATACAAATTCTGGGTATGTCTCACTTAATGATGGTGATCTATTTAACGACAATAACTCATCTAATGATGGAAAAATGATTATTGAAGATGTCAATGTTCAGGGAGGAGAGGCTGAACAAGACATGAAACCAGAAAGACTTGAGACACAAGAGCAGTTAATACCACGTAGGTCAGAGCGATGTAATAAAGGAATTCTGCCTGACAGGTATTCTGCCAGCAAGGTAAAGGTTTGCAATGTGTGGTATGAGCCAAGAAGTTATAAAGTGTTGGCATTACCAAAAGCTGAACAAGAAACATGGAAGGAGGCCATGGATAAAGAGATGAAATCCATGGGAGACCATGAAGTATTTACATCAGTGACTTTGCCACAGGGAACCAAAGCTGTGGGTTGTAAGTGTGTATATAAGAAAAAGGTATTGCCAAATAATGATGTACAGTATAAGGCCAGGTTAGTGGCACAAGTTTTTTCACAATTAAAGAATGTGCACTACGATGAAGTATTTGCGCCAACTGTGAAAAGTGAGAATATAAGATTAGCACTGGCGCTGGCAGCGGCATATAAGCATAAAATCTGGCACTTTGATATCACAACTGTATTCCTCAATGCTGAGTTAGAAGAAATTTATATGATCCAAGCACCAGGATATGAAATTGCAAAACCTAACATGGTGTATAAATTAAACAAGGCTATTTATGGGCTGAAGCAGTCAGCCAGAAACTGGAATATCTGTTTAGATACTGCTTTAAAGGGTCTAGGATTTAAGAGTTGCAAAGCTGATACTTGTATATATACTGGACAGTTACAAGGAGGGAATTGTCTACTGTTATCATTTGTGGATGATCTTTGCTTCATCGCAAAGGATGAATCACAAGTCAAGGAATTTGCTGATAAATTAGGAAAGAAATTCGAATTAAAGAATTTGGGAGAAATAAAAAATTATCTCGGTGTAGAGATACAAAAAAATGAAAAAGATGGTTATATTTTCAGTCAAAGGAGAAAAAATGAGCAGTTATTGGAGAAATATAATATGAAAGATTGCAATACTGCTCCCACACCCATGAGTACGGATTTTTATAATAGTTTAAGTGCGGACAAAGGTGAAACCTGTGATCAAGAGATATATCACTCAGCAATAGGGAGTTTGTTATATCTATCACAGTAGTCCAGAACAGACATAGCTTGCGGAGTAAGCATTTTGAGTAGTTTTACTGCTGCACCTACAAAGTTACATTGGATGGGTGTAAAAAGGGTTCTCAGTTATTTAAAGGGAACTATAAATTTGGGTCTTCAAATACAGATTACTGAGGAATTGAAATTAAAGTATTATGTTGATAGTGACCATGCAATGATATAAACACAAGGAAATAAAATTCTGGGATTATAATATTGTTTGGAGGGACTCTGATTGGATGTAAGTCCAGAAAACAAACAACTGTTGCTATTTCAGCAGCGGAAGCAGAGTTTATTGCTTTATCTGAATTGTGTTCTGAAGTAACATGGTATGTACAGTTGTTGCAAGATTTAAACGTTAATGTAAAAGGATCTGTAAAGGTATTTGAAAACAATGCTGCCTGTATAAAAATGGCAACTGGTGACAGGGTGAAGAACAGAAGTAAACATGCAGACATTAAGTATTGTAATGTCGGGGAAGCTGTAAAAGGAAAATTGATTAGTTTATATCATTGTTCTTCTGAGGATAATTTGGCAGACATGATGACTAACCCATTGGGTGGTGTTCACTATGGAGAATGTATTAAGTCAATAGGTCTGATGTCTCTTCCTGTCATGAAGGGAGGAGTGTTGGAATATTCATGAGCAGGAAGAGTCATGTGGTAACTCAGTCAGCCAATGTGAAGAAAGTGCTACTGAGTCTGTGCAAAAGGGTATTGAGTTAGGAGCTGGATTTCCAGTCTCAGGTTTGTCTCTGTATCTCTCTGTAAGAAGTCTTCATTGAGCTATGTTGCCGTAAAGAAGAACATATGGTATTGTAAATATTTTGATATAAATATAAAGAAGTTATTTTGAATCAGCTAATTGCAGTCAACTGTGAGAGCTTCTGATTTATTTTTTCACCAACAGAGAAATTAAAATTCTCTAACAAATTAGTTTTACAATGCCAAGCTGCTATTTTAAAATGATTTGATTTTGAATGCTTCCCCCCCCCCTAAAATTATTTTGGTAAGTTGTCAGAAGCTGTTTAACTCAGAAAAGAACTATTAAATATTTCAAATCAACTTACGTGATTAGCAGTATAGAGCCAATACTGAGGTGATGGTGTACATTTTGGTGCAATTCTTCCGGAGGACAAGCCAAGCTGCTCTCTAACTCAAAAACATAGGAACATTGCTTTATCTTCTCCCTCTCTTCTGCCACCATGGTGAAGCCAGTCTGTTTAGATATAGTAAGAGTCTAATGGCACACTAAAGAAAGTTCAGTTGCCCCCCTCCTCTCTTGAGATATTCAGCAACAGAGTACCCCACAATTTTCATAATCCTATTGTCGCCTGATTCATACACATGGCATGCTGACTGAAACTACAAAGAGGTGTAGGTCAATACTATCTAGATGGCTGCAGATTCCATTTTCCTAGGCTAAGGCATTATTAAAATGTTCTAATATAGTCTCCTCTATGATGTGCCTTTTTCTTACTCAATGCTCTCAACCTTACCATTTATCTTATAGTACACGCAAACATTTTGATATGCACTTTTCATGTAAATTCCATAGCCTTTCTTTTCTAATCAACTTCAATTCTGATATTATGTAGCATGTAATCAATACTGTAAATAGTATGGTAGGGGCTGAGTTATGTACTAGTTTTCTTTAGTATAATTCATTTTTACTACCCCATTCTTATACTCACTGCTAATGTTGTTCGGTTGCAGATGATCATTACTAAAGCTTTCCTGTCTTCCTGTGTACAATGGTTACCATAGGGATCGCCGCCCTGATAGATTAGCATAATCCAGCTAGCTGCCAAATTAGAAATATTAGAGATTCAATGAGGGATGAGTATAATTATAAGAACGCTCAATAGATCTGTTTAAATTATGTCTTACTTCCATTTGCAAGATGGGTCTCATTAATTCGTCCTATTACTTTTTGTTTGTTGTCTATCTTACTGATCTGCACCAGGCCAGAATTGGTCATATTGCTGAAGACTTCTCGACATATCCTCAGTCTGTAAATGTAGTGGCCATCATCGTTCATGCTTTCTGTTTCAAAACTGCAAAGAATAGACAATTTAGAACACATAATATAGAATCATAGGACTGGGAGAGACCTCAGAGGTCTTCTAGTCCAGGGTACCACCTGTGGTACATTGGCACCTGGCAGGTGGTACGCGACCATCCTACAAAAGTGGTAGTGGGGGGGAATGAGCTGAACCAGTGGCAGCATCGCACAAGCCTGAGCGAGAGATGGCTGGAGCTGCAGGCTCCAGCTGGAGCTCAGCGCTGATCCTAGTGCTTCTGCTGAGCCCAGAAAAAGTGCCAATCAGCTGGAATGTTGCAGCATCTCCAGGGTCTTGTGATTTACATTCAGATGCTTGGCAACTGATTCATATTTATGACGGTCACAGTGTCCCAGGGTCATGTGAAGTGACCAAAACCTGCTGCAACCACCCAGCAGACATCGGGAATAAAAACCAAACATGCCCCCACCACACCCCCAGTGCCAATCCTCAACAGAAATGCTCACAACAATGAAAACCTCGGAAGGGAGGAACAGCGCCGCTGGGTGGGCAGGCAGGTGTCTTGCTCAGCTATGACTTGGGGGGCACTTTTTTCAGTGCCATTGTAACTTCGAACAGTCACTAAGCGAACTGTTGTAAGTTGAGGGCTACCTGTACTTTATCACTTTTTTCCTTTTGGGGGGGTCATCAAGTTTTTGATACCTTGCTAGGCAACTGGTGGTACGTGGATGTTGCCATATCCTAAAAGTGGTACAATGGGTGAAAAGGTTGAAAAGCCCTGTTCTAGTTCAATCCCCTACTCAAGGTAGGAACCTTACATATGATTCCAGTCAAATTGTTGTCCCAACTATTTTTGAAAACTAGTAGCCATATTTACACATATATACCCTCATTTACACATTTACATCCACATTTACCCCAACACAGGAAAATAAAAACAGTAGGAAAGTTAACAATATTTTCCTGGAATATTTCTTATAATGCTAATCTGGTCTTCGCCTCTCAAATGAAGGAATAGTTAATAGCCAGTACACAATTAACAGTGTGTTCCTAATTTCATTACAAATAGAGTATCATCTCTTATGGAATCTTGAACTACAGTGCATTCAGAAAGTATTCAGACCCCCTTCACATCTGAATACTTTCTGAATGCACTGTATATTAAAATATAAAGTTATGTTACTTGTATAAATTTCCTTTAAATATTTTTTTCTGATTTGTTAACTGGGAAGTGTGGAAGCACTAAGAAAGGATTAAAATTAGAATGGCATGTGAAGATATAACACTTAAGTAGGGTTATATAAAGAGAGGATAACCTTTATTTCCAATAGCCTCATGAAAAACAGAATCTTGGGTATGGAGATGTGACAGATTTCTAAAAGTAATTTTTCTCACATTTCAACTGTGAGCAAAGTTGAAATTATGAGCAAGTACTGATTTTATATCAATCTCCATTAATTAGCTCTGATATTCAACAACTTTTATTGTCTCATTATAATGCTTTCTACTTCTGGCATTCAAAAGAGTGCAACATTCCCTAATACAGTGGTGGCGAACCTATGGCACGCATGCCTGAGGCAGCACTCAGAGCCCTCTCTGTGGGCTTGCGTGCCAAGCCCCGGAGATTGCAACCATCCCTCTTCAACCAGCTGCCCGCTAACTCACCGAGGTGCCACGTGGTCGGATGCATCCAGCACAGCTGGTTTCCCTCACCACTGTCCCATCCCTCCTGGCTTTGCATGCTCTCCTTTTTCCACGCATGACTCACTGCATCATCTCCTCAGCTGTCGGCCAGCCTTCCAGCTTAGAGGTGGCTTCTCTGAATTGCTGGTGGCGGGCTGCAGAGCCCCAGAGTGCGCTGGTTGAGGGCCCGGCAGGCTATGGCTGCTGACGGACACTGTTGGCCCCATGCGCTCGCTGGCCTGTGTGTGGGGGCTGATGGTGTCAGGCAGCAACCGCCTCGGCCTACCTCACCTTGAGACAATGGCACCCCTGCCCTGCCTCGCCTCACCCTGCAAAATGAGCCTCCTGGCCCACCTGCCAGAGACCTCCTGGATCTCCCCCAAACCTGCCCGGCCCCCACAGGCATCTCTCCCCATAAGCAACATCAAGGTGACCACGCCCACCTTGGCCACACCTACCCAGTCTGCAATGACCACAGCCATGCCCACCAGCGATAAATAAGTGGGTTTTGGGTTGCAGTTTGGGCACTCAGTCTCTAAAAGGTTCACCACCACGGCCCTAGTCTTATCTGTTTGATCTGAAACCCATTGACACTGTACCTTTGATTGAAAAGTGGCTTCAGTCTGTTCATCAATGCTAGTTCTTTTGTGGATTCTTGTTCCTGTTCCCCAAGAAGGTCACACATCTTTTCTTCTGCCATCACAGTGATTATGATGGCTAGTATCATAGCATGGGAGAAAGCATGAACCAGGAACATTCTATAAACAGCAATTTATAGAAAGTGAGGAAAGTAAGTTTCAAAAAGCTATTAATATGTCTGTTAATGCTTCTGACACATAAATTCTGAATTCAGCAAACTGTTTCAGGCCTCATAACTCAAAATTAAGAGGAGAATAGGAAAAGAATATGGAGCATTACTGGTCTCATAAAAATAATAATCTGGAATGAGATAGTTCTGAAAAAGTGGGAAATTATGTTTATGGAATGGAAATTTCAACTACTGTATGATAACACTATTCTTGCAACACTTTCCTTAGTGTCCATTATATACTTTCTTTAGTGTCCTTTAATTCCTATGAGCTGCAAAGTGGAGGGAGGAAAGCCTACTTAATTAGATGCTTCTCTTTCTCATAAAATCCATTCTAACTATTCTCTGCAGGATACCAGTGAAGAAAAGATCTGGCAATATCAATTTCAGAAGATTATTCAGCTGTACACTTTGCTGGGTCTCTATGGTAGGACACCTAGAAATTTTTTTTTAATTAGGTATAGAAGAGGCTCAAAATCTAAAAATCTAAAAATCCTGGAGAAAGATGTACTGCAAAGAATTTCATGATAGAAATTATTCAGACCAACTATACTTGTTAGTTGCTGTAATCAAAGTTATATTTTATCCACTGAAATTGAGATTTATAACTGTACATTATTGAGGTGCAATTTCTGCAGGTTTCCTATATGATAAAGTAGGGAATGATGGAATGTTTGGTATTAGAAAACTGACCACAATCTGGGATTCTAACTATAGTCATAATGTTATTCTTATGGTTGGCTGCTTTACAAAACATTCTACTGGCATTTCTATGTTTTTTGTGCTTTGCCTTCCATTTTATTGATGGAATTTGTGACTACTCTTTGGAAGGCCAGTAAATGTACAATTGTTCTGCACAAGTAAATAAACTGGTACTACTGGAGGACATATAGAGAAGAAATTAATTTGATAAGACCCCTCGATTGTACAAAGCCTTTTAAACTTATATCTTACAATTTCTCTACAGAGAGTTCAGAAACTGGAAAGGCCTATGGAATAGATACTCAGATGGTACAAATTATTCTGAATAAATTGTTCTTCTAAGCCAGATGTTTGGGATATGTAATATTAAAACAATATTTTAATGTCACACTCAAAACTAGAAATTACACTTGGAAGTTCCTGTTTTTGACATAACTGAGGATTGGTTGGCTACACTCATCTTTCATATCCTACAAACAGACCATCAATTCCTTTTGTGTACTCTAACCACTTTGATATCTATAGATACCAATATGCCTATGGACACTATTCTATGCACTTGGCAATTCCTTTTTCCTAAAGTAATAATTAAAAAAAAATAAAAGCTGAATTTCAAATAAAAAGCCAACTTCTATCCCTACACAATTACATAGGCATTCTTAGAAAAAAATGCTGCTCACTGACATTTAGAAGTGATTGCACTTGAACAAGAAAAAAAGAGGCAAAGTTGGGGGAGGGGTTAGTGGTAGAAAAATGATATTAATGGTTTCTTTATGGGACATGGTGTTTTCAATTCAATACTCTTATCACAGCCACTATTTTGCAAATAAACATCACTGATGGCTCTCAAAATTCCAGATGTACCCTCTTCACTCACAACAGCTAAAAATTTGTATTGGGATTTTAAAATATGAATTGTCCATTAACAATGCAAAAATGTATTTGCAAAAATGTATTTGATAACCCCCAACTTGGTCACATGATGGAGAATA